GAGCTGCGCAGCCGGGCCGGACGCCCAGTCTGCAGAGCGCCGATGGAGAGCGGACGCTGCCCGCACCCGCACGGCTCGTCTTCGGGCTGCATGGTCAGGCCGAGGCTGGGGCCACCTGCCACGGCTCCCCCTGTTCTGCCCAAACCACGAGCCACCAGAGCCGTCGTCGGCACACGCAAGCATCGCCTGGTCACTGTCTTCATGGTTGGTGTACGCGGTGCACCACCTGTAGTGACCGTGAGGCCACCGCTGGCTTCCTGCCTCCGGCGCGCCTCTGGGTTCCCACCCCTTTCGGGATTCACAAGTGGAGGGACACAAACAGGCAGTGACATTGTCCTGAGCACACACCATCGTGGAACAGGTCTGCGGCAGCCAGACTTCATGTCGTGTATTCCAGAACCAAGCAGGAACGGCTTGGCCCGAGTCTTTTTCTTTTTTTTTTTTTGAAGAGAGACAGGGTCTCTATGTGTCATCCAGGCTGGAGGACAGTGGCGCCATCAGAGCTCACTGCAGCCTCGAACTCATGGATTCCAGCAATACTCTTGCCTCCATGGTCTCCTAGGTGGCTGGGACTACAGGAATGCGACACCACACTCGGCTAATTTTTACATTTTTTGTAGAGATTGTGGCCCAGGCTGGTCTCAAACTCCTGGCCTCAAGCGAGCCTCTCGCCTCAGCCTCCCAGAGCTCTGGGATTACAGGCGTGAGCCACTGCACCCAGTCTACATGAGTCTTGCATCATCTCGGCCACCTTCCTCTCCCCACCTCGACCCCTGAGAGCCCCCATCTAGGGACCCATCCCCTGTGCCGTCAGTGCTCACGACAGTCTCCGAACCAGGCGTGCTGCGTGCCCTGCAGAGGGTGGATGGCCTCTGTCCAGACAGCCCTGAGGGGCTGGGTGGGGCCCTGGGCTGGGTTACCACAGTGGCTTCCTGCTAACCGCTTTTCTTCATTCCGTGAACCTTTTCCTGGCACACCGGTGGCTGTACCCATGTGCCCCAGGGTCTCCACGGCATCCCAAGACGCGAGGGGCCGGGTGAGTCCCAGGCCGCCGGGCCCCGCTGAAGCCCTCCCCATGTCTTTCAGATCCTGGGCATGGCCTTCTCCATGACCCTCTTCCAGCACATCCACCGGACTGGCAAAAAGTACGACGCGTGAGCGCCGGCCGGAGCGCCCCAGCCCCACCCAGACACCCTGCGGAGGGAAGAGGATGTGAGCTTTATGTCGCCTGCCTGCACTCTCCAGATGTGACCCCGCACCCACCCGCCCACCCAGCCTGCCCTCCTGGCCCGCCCCGCCTCCGCTCGGACGTCTGGCGGGTGGAGGGCCGGGGGAGGCGGCCCGCGGAGGCCTGGGGCGCGGGCACCCGGATTCCTGCATCTGCATCTGTGTATTTGCCAAAGACGATAGGGTGGGCTGGGGTGCGCTCAGGAGGAAGCCCGAGCGCCGGTGCGTGTCTGCGCCCTGCCCTTCCTGACACTGACGCTTTGTCCCCACGTGGGGCGGGGCAGCGTGCCCCCCCTGGCCGAGGGACTGCCCCGGCTGCCTGGGGGGTGTTGGCAGGGCCGGGTCTGCCCCCTCCGGGCGAGGCCCCTGGAGTGTCTTCTCGCCCAGGCTTTTTATACCTTACAGTGTAACTTTTTTTTAAACTTTATTTTACTCTGATCACAACTATTCAGGAATATTATCTCTCAGATAAGTTTAGGGTTAGCTTTCTGATGTATAACTTTTTACCGTGTTGATTTCCTTAATGGTTTGATGTTTTTTTCCCCCGAGGGTGGGGAACGGGTGGATGGAGAGGACATCCATCCGGTTTCTCCAGTGGGACGCGCCCACCTCTGCTCCAGCGGAGGGGGTACGGGCAGGACCCCGGGCCCTGCCAGGCCTGGCATCCGCCGACAGGCACCTGGAGGCAGGGGTGCACCCCGTGCGGCGGTGGTGTTTGTTCACCAAGGGGAGAGGCCAGAGTGACGGGGTCCCTGGGGCTGGTGAAGCGCTTTGCCAGGAACGTGGCCGGCACTGGCTGGGGCCTTACGCTTTCACTGATGAGCAGTCGTTAGTTTTCTTCCTCCTTCCTTCCTCCTGCCCTCTGCTGGCAGGGGAGGCTTCTCCACCTCCACGGGCGTGCCCGTGACAGGTTCTGCACACCCCAGCTACTTTCACACACATTCCTGCTAGACACTCTCAGATAAATACCTCTCTAGTTCAGATGCTGCTCACGTTCCCACCTTGGTTCCGGGGAGGGAAGCGTCCCGGGATCTGCCGCCCCAGCAAACGGCGAGGCAGAGGTGGGACTGGAGGCAGAGGTGGGACCGGAGCCTTGGGTGTTCCCGCCAGATTCATTCAGCTGCTGGCTGCCCTGCGGGAAGGGAGGGAAAGATGTCCATCTGGCCCGGGATTGTCCTCTCCTCCCAGGTTCACTGACATCAGCGGTGGGGTGGGTGGTGACATCGCCCCGTGATCCCCAGGAGAGAAATATAGGAAGCCCAGGAGAGGTCAGACCGGCTCTTGTTAGCCGAGTCCTAGGGAGAAACTGCCAGAGTCACGGCCTGTGTAGGCCCCTGCGTGTGAGACAAACCGTTTAGCGGTTTGCAGTTTAAAAAATCAAGAGTCCACGGGACCCAGCTTGGAAGGGTTGTCCCCTAGCTAGCTGCGGTCCTGGGCGCTTCCTGGGTGGGCCGTGGCAGGCGGTTGGCTGTTACCCCGGCTTCCCGCCAGGGCCAGGTCTCCCCTCCAGCCTCCGCCTGCCAGTCCTCCGTTCCCCTTAAGTGACACACACGTCGGGACCAGGGGGCTAGAATGTTTGCTGCGATCAGGATCCACGGGTGGTCTCAGCCAGTCAGGAAGGGTGAAGACCACTTCCCAGAGGCAGGAGCAGCGGCTCGATGGGATCCTGGCAGGCACGCGTTCAAACAAAGCCCCCTTCCCCGTCCTCGGGTCCGTCTTCCTGGCAAGGAGCTTCGGCCGGCTCTCGGGGAACCCCAAAGTAGAGATTCTGGAGCAGACGTGCCCCCACAGAGTCACTCGGCGCCAAGCGTTCAGGTCGCACGGTGGGACCCGGGGCCTTCTGCGTCTTGGCCACGGGTAGGTCTGTTTATGCCTCTCAATGCAATTTTTAATTTTTGTTAATATCGACAGCAAAAGCCCAGTGTGCTGGGAGACGCGCGGCCTCCCGGAAGATCTCGTGTCTGGGGTGCTCCAGGGGCGGCCTCCGGCCCCGGAGCCTCTGCTGCTGTGTCCTCTCCCCTGCCGGCCCCCACTTCATCTGTCTGTCTGCAGAGCCTTGCTCGCGTCCCCCAGCTACCCTCTTGCCGCCCCCTGGGCTTGGCGGTTCTGTCATTGGGCCGAGTCTGCACTGGGTGGCGGTCTCCACGTGCGGGCGGCTGTGCCTCCAAGCCCCCTGCCCATCCTTCGGAGGAGGTCCTGGCGCCACCGGGAGGGCTACACCCAGCCGTACTGGCAGAGGAAGCGTCTCCTTCGTGTTCCCAGCTCTGGCCTCCTTGGGACGGGAACTGCCCCCCGCCACGTGATGCCTCTCACCCACAGCCTCCTGGCCAAGGTCAGAGTTCATCAGGCCAGGGGCAAGCAGTTCGCCGACTGTCTTGGAAGGCCTCTGAGGGTCTGAAGACAGCTTCGGGGGAGCGTCTGATGTGCATTCGGCCTTTCGCTACAGCTGGCTGGCAGGCAGGGGTTCGGAACTGCCCTGGGCGCCTGGCAGGGGGTGTTGGGCTGCAAGTCTCCCCCTGCCCCCGGCTGGAGCCTCACCCGCCCCAGGCCCTCTCGCAGGTGTTCTGGTGTGACTTGGAACCGGTGGCCCCAGAGCAGTCCGGGTGGATGGAAGTAGCCGTCCCCTCCTCTCCAGCCCCTGCCCACCCACTGGTGGAGGTGCTAACTAGCAGGGACATGGCGTAGGACGGGAGCGGGGCGCCAGGTGCTCGAGGTCCGCTCTCGGCCCCTCAGCCCCTCAGAGTCCGGCAGCCCCCGTTCCCGTGGCCCCACCTTGCCCCCCCAGCACTGTGAGGCAGCCGTCGGGGGGGTCCCGGCCTTCCTGGCCCTGAACGGACACTCCGAGGCGGTGAGGCCCGGGCCCTGCCCCCACCTGCCCTGCCCCGGGCCG